CCTTCCTTCCTTCCTTCCTTCCTTCCTTCCTTCCTTCCTTCCTTCCTCCCTTCCATCCATTCAGTTACTGTTACGGCCATTGGTAGAACAAAGGGAGCTCATGTTCTAAAGCAGGGATCTCCCAACTTGGCAAGCTGGCTGAGGAATTATGGGAGTTGAAGTCCACAAGTCTTGCAGTTGCCAAGTTTGGAGACTCTTGTTGTAAAGTATCAGCAAATCCCCAAGTGAGCAGAATGATATCCATGGTTCAAGACAAACTCCAAGATACCTGATTATCCTAATGACTACAGTTTAAGTGTACTTGGTATCTCAACCCAACCTTTTTCATGGAATTGCTGTTGTGAGAATAAAACAAAGGGCAACCTTCTTACAGAATTCAGTAGCGCAGCGTTTACTAACTTCCATGATGCTTCAACCAAACACTGAGTTTGGTGTGTAATGGGATTATTATGTATTTTCAAAATAGAACGATCTGACCTGCTTACCTCGGGTGATAGCAAGGTGCCCTGACGTAATTTCTCATCAATCTCCAACCTCTGTTTGAGCAACTGGTCCTTCTCCTGCCGTAAATTGTTAATTTCTTGCCGGATGAGCTGCTGGTCCTGTGCACTGCTGTGACAAAGCTGCCCACTCCTCTGGGTTAGCTCTTTCTCTAGGTACTCCAGACGACTGGAGACACGAAGAATGTCATCATTCAGAGCCTATGGCAGAGAGAGAAGAAAAATATCTTAAGGAACATTCAGTGCCTGTTGGGAGTCTGCAAATTTGCCAGACTTCAATAACTCCTGGTAAGTAAATGTTTACTGAAGAAGAAAGCAGAATTAGCAGAATGTCAACAGATCCCAGGAAGACACAGCTGCTTTAAAGAGTTGCAGAGAGACATAGTACTTTCACCTCGCAATATTCTGAAACTTCTTTCTGAAGTCAAGTCCAAAGCATTGCAACTGTGGTATCACTAGAATTGCCTAAGCTTAATCAAACTGTAAAAGGGATGTGGTGGCTAAGATGCTGAGTTTGTCAATCACAAAGGTCAGCAATTTGGCGGTTCGAATCCCTAGCACTGCGTAACCGAGTGAGCTTCTATTACTTGTCCCAGCTTCTGCCAACCTAGCAGTTCAAAAGCATGTAAAAATGCAAGTAGAAAAATAGGGACCACTTTGGTGGGAAGGTAACAGCGTTCCATGTGCCTTTGCTGTTTAGTCATACTGGCCATATGACCATGGAGACGTCTTCGGACAGCGCTGGGTCTTCGGCTTTATAACGGAGATGAGCACCACCCTCTAGAGCCAGAAACGACTAGCATGTATGTGCGAGGGGAACCTTTACCTTAATCTTTAATCAAACTGATTCAGAGCTAGTTACCCCACACTTAACAGAACTTAAACCTAAATCACCATAGCAGAGGAGTTAGGAATCTATTTTGTATAAATAGCAATAAGCACTTAGACTTACATACTGCTTCACAGTGCTTTACAGCCCTAAGTGGTTTACAGAGTCAGCCTATTGTTCCCCAACAATCTGGGTCCTTATTTTACTGACCTCAGAAGGATGGAAGGCTGAGTCAACCGGTGAGATCTGAACTGCCAAATTGCAGGCAGGCAGCAGAAGTAGCCTGTAGTACTACACTCTAACCATTGCGCCAACGTGGCTCTTCGTTCTTCATTTGCTCAGCATCTCTTACACAAGTTATCCATGTGACTGTCTTTCATTTAATCTTCTTTCTTAACCAAGGTTGATCACTATAATATCACTCAGAAAGCAAAGGGACAATTTTGCCCACCTGGCTAGACCGGAGTCTCTTGTTTTCCAGGTCATTCTTCTCCTGAAGGAGAGCTTCTTTCTTGGCGACAATTGTTTCTCTCTTGATCAATTCATCTTCCAGCTCACCCAGGGTACGTCTCTGCTTGAGGATTTTTTCCATCTCTACATCCAACCACTTCTTCTGCTCTTCAATTTTCTGATAGATAAACAGGAGAAAAGGAAACCAGTTTGTACCAGTGACCAGACATGCTAAACAATGTGTAAGTTTTTATTGTCGACTGCCAAACAGAATTCCTACTCCAAAAATCCCTATATGGCCATACTAACGCCAATGTTTTCCCCTTGGGATCCGTGGCTCATGCCTTCCAATTACTTCAGAGAGAAGAATATGTTTGCGATACTGTTTTTACTTATTTATCCATTAACTTGAAATCAAATTCATAATTAATTAAATGAAATTTTATTTTAAAAAATGACTAATCTGAAAAACCATCCCCTAACCACAACATCCCCTTTGCTTTCCATGGTGGCAGTCATTCAGGGAAGAAATACAAAAAGCACAAGGAACATTTTAAAGGGGGTATCTCTCTGGGGTCATAATGGAGAAGATCTATCTATGAGGTCTTCATAGATAGTTGGGAATGACTTGATGGCATGTAATTAATTCCTGCTTAAGTAGGGGGCTGGGCTAGAAGACCTCCAAGGTCCTTTCCAGCTCATTCTGTTCTATCCCTTTAGGGAAACATTGGGGAAAATTGGGAGAATTCAAGATCAAAGTCACAACCACGTCCAGATGATGACAATGTGTGCATCCCAATATCACTGTGCAAATAACACAATGATCCCATTTGTGTCATGATGTTAGTGTTGTCCTTGGCTCTGTTGTGGTCCAGATTCCTGCCAGGAAACCTGTAGGCAGCTGCCTTTACCTGCTGCTGTTCTAGACTGATCATTGAGTCATTGCTGCCACTCCTGTGCTTTCTCTGGTAGGCAGCTACCTCTTCCGTTTTGATCCTCAGAATCTTTTGATGTTGCTCATGTTTCAGTTCCAACTCCTAAAGATAGAAGGGGGAAAATACACAGTTTAACTAGTGTTTGAGTATCTATTTTAAAACAAAGAACAACTTGGATCTTCTGGGCAGCATATAGCTTCCGATCTATTTTTAATAATTCCTCAGGACAAACTCAGGACAAATTTAGTTTTGGTTGCCACAATGTAAAAAAGATGTTGAGACTCTAGAAAGAGTGCAGAGAAGAGCAACAAAATTTATGAGGGGATTGGAGGCTAAAACATATGAAGAACGTTGCAGGAACTGGGTATGTAGACTGATGAAAAGAAGGTCTAGGGGAGACATGATGGTAGTGTTCCAATATCTCAGGGGCTGCCACGAAGAAGAGGGAGCCAAGTTATTCTCCAAAGCACCTGAGGGCAGGACAAGAAGCAATGGGTGGAAACTAATCAAGGAGAGAAGCAACCTAGAACTAAGGAGAAATTTCCTGACAGAGAGAACAATTAATCAGTGGAACAACTTGCCTCCAGAAGCTGTGAATGCTCCAACACTGGAAGTTTTTAAAAAGATGTTGGTTAACCATTTGTCTGAAGTGGTGTAGGGTTTCTTGCCTTGGCAGGGGTTGGACTCCAAGGTTCTCCAGGGTCCCTTCCAACTCTGTTATTCTATTCTATTCTATTCTATTCTATTCTATTCTATTCTATTCTATTCCAACCATGACTACTGAAATTGATCAGCATTTCAAAGTGAGAATCCTACATGTGAAGCCACCATAGACGGGGAATAAAAGCCACCCAGTATTGCCCTCCAGGCACATAAAATCTGGGGAGAAACATTAATTTTCTAGTCCTGGTCTCAGATAGAAACCCAGCTGTGTCTGCTGTACCCATCATGAATGATAATTGTGGTTTTCAAATGCCAGAAACTTACTGGTTCCCAGTTTAAAAGATTCTGTGCTCAAATGTATTTGCCAACCTGGGTGCCCTGTAAGTGTTTGGATCTCAGAATTTACCAACTACAATTACAAAAGACTCCATTGCTTGTATCTGCACATAGAAGAATGCTGGCGGCGCAGTGGTTAAAATGCAGTATTGCTGGCTAACTCTGCCCACAGCCTGGAGGCTCAAGGTAAACTCAGTTTACTCAGCTTACCAACTTTCTGAGATTGGTAACATGAGGACCCAGATTGTGGGGGCAATATGCAAATAATTCTTCTGCCTTGTAAACCACCCAGAAAGTGCTGCAAAGTGCAATGGGGTGATATATAAGCCTAAATGCTATTGCTATATACTATACCAATCCATTATGACATCCTAGATTGGGAAGAATGTGATTCATATCAGGGCCAACACCAGCCAAAGAACTGGCAGCTGTGATTTCACACTGTTGTGACTGTGCATATAATAATATCTCCCCCTGCCTTGGCCCCTAAGAGCCGTGATAGTGCAGTGGTTAGAATGCAGTAGTGCTGCAAACTACTTCTGCTGACTGCTAGCTACCAGCACTTTGGCAGTTCGATCCTGACCGGCTCAACGTTGACTCAGCCTTCCATCCTTCTGACGTGGGTAAAATGAGGACCCAGATTGTTGGGGGCAATAGGCACTGTAAAGCAGTATATTTCTAAATGCTATTGCTAAGTGGGAGGGAGGGAGGGAGGGAGTGTCAGAGTATATTCATGAACTAGAATAGAGCTTAGTAACAAGGTCACCCAATGAGAGCTGAGTTGAGGGCTGAAACTTAAAGAGAGAATCTGGGTGTGGTTTATCTCTGATCTGTGTTCAGCTCTAAAGTGAAAGAGAAACTAACTTGTTTGCTTCTCTGCTGAAGTCTATTTGCTGCTCTGCTTTGAACCTGTAACATGTCTGCTTCTGTTTGAGTTTGCTCCATGTTGGAGAAATCTACAATTGGTATTGTAAAATTTACTTTGTGTTTATAAAGACGTTAAATGAAGCATCAGCCATCTCTGTTTACTTTTCTGGCGCTGAATTTACACTGCAAAACTCTGAATAGAGAGGGAAGGAAGGAAGGAAGGAAGGAAGGAAGGAAGGAAGGAAGGAAGGAAGGAAGGAAGGAAGGAAGGGTCGTGATGGCTTAGTGGTTAGAATGCAGTGTTGCAGGCTAATTCTGCCGACTACCAGCAATTCTGACCGGCTCAGCCTTCCATCCTTCTGAGATCGGTAAAATGAGGAGCCAGATTGTTGGGGGCAAGAGCCTGACTCTGTAAACCACTTAGAGAGGGCTGTAAAAGCTCTGTGAAGTGCTATATAAGTCTAAGTGCTATTGCTAATAAAATAAATACAATTCAAACATGATAGACAAGCTCTGCCCTTCACCATCTTTTCTCGCTGGGATGCTGCTGGAGCCCAGCCATCTCTACCTTGACCCGATGCTGTCTCTTCTGCATCTCGGTTTCCAGACGTCGCTTCTGCTCCACTTCTTCCCGCAAACGCTTCTGGAGCTGCCCTTGCTGCTGCCGCATCAGCTGCACGTTCCTCTCTAGCTCCAGCAGGCGTTTCTCGTTTTGAGCAGAGAAGGATGCCAATCTCTCTGTTGCCCGTTTCTTCTCCTGAAGGATCTGTCCCAAGAGAGATGATACAGGGAGAATAGCAGATGCTGGGACCACACATGCAGCTCCGACAATGTTTAGGGACAATGGAACCATGTCCTAGTCACAGGTAGTCCTTCACTTACAACAAGTCATTTAGTGAATATTCAAAGTTACAACTGCACTGAAAAAAGTGACTCATGACCAATTTTCACACTTACATCATTTGCAACATCCCGTTGGTCATGTGATCAAAATTCAGCCACTAGGGAACTGTCTCATATTTATAACAGTTGCAGTGTCCAGGGCTCATGTGATCCAGAGGTGGTATTCAGTAGGTTCTCACCAGTTCTAGAGAACCAGCAGCAGAAATTTTGAGTAGTTCGGAGAACCCGCAAATACTACCTCTGACTGGCCCTGTCCCCATCTCTTCTCTTGAGTCCCAGCTGATTGGCTGGGTCTCCTTTGGTTGCCCTGCACAGTAGAATGGAGCTGGAAAGCAGGTTAGTGGGGTGGGGAGGGGAGGGAATGGAGATTTTGCAGTATCCTTCTCCTGTCATGCCCACCAAACCACTCTCACCAAGCCCTGCCACACCCACCAAACCACACCCACAGAACCGGTAGTAAAAACGTTTGAATCCCACAACTGATGTGATCAACTTCTGTGACCTTCTGACCAACGAAGTCAATAGGGAAGCCAGATTCACTCAACGACCATTCTATCAATTTAACAACTGCAATGTTTTACTTGAGGCAGGAAAGGTCATAAAATGGGGCAAAAGTCACTTAACCAATGTTTCACTTAGCAACATAAATGTTGGGTTCAGTTGTGGTTATAAGTCAAGGACCACCTGTACTTGGCTGCTCTTCCTTCTAAGTCTAAGCCTCCAGATGTTTCCAGCATCAGGCAGGGAAATGCATAATCTATGGCCTAGAATTTGCATGCCACATTTAAATTTAAAAATTCAAAATGACTCAGTCTTGGCCAAAAAACAAGTTTGATTTGCGCTGGCACATATGATTGCAAGTTACAACGCCTGGGTGCCTTTAACATGCTAAACTAAAATAATTAAACTATTCTACATTTATAAATAGTCGGTGTCACACAGATTACGCTATGCCATAACACAGTTTACAGTGTGGGGTAAAGGTAAAGGTTCCCCTCACACATCCGTGCTAGTCATTTCTGGCTCTAGGGGGCAGTGCTCATCTCTGTTACAAAGAGCCAGCACTGTCCGAAGACGTCTCTGTGGTCATGTGGCCGGCATGACTAATGCTGAAGATGCACGGAACACTGTTACCTTCCCACCCAAGTGGTTCCTATTTTTCTACTTGCATTTTTTATGTGCTTTCGAACTGCTAGGTTAGCAGAAGCTGGGAGAAGTAATGGGAGCTCCCTCCATTACAGGGCGCTAGGGATTCGAACCACCAAACTGTCGATCTTTCTGATCGACAAGCTCAGCATCTTAGCCACTGAGCCACTGCATCCCTTAACAGTTGAAGGGGGGGGGTGTAGGGCTTTGCTAAACAATCTAGGCCCTTTTGGCTTCAGGATCTATGCGAACCTCCTCCTTTTCTAGGCTACCTTTGCCTTGCTCTGAGCAGCTTCCACTTTGCTGCGATATTCCTGGAGTTTCCACTTTTCAGCAGGGTCACAAGGCTCTTTGCCTTCCAGCTCTTGCAACTGCCTCTGGCCGTCATTCAGCTCCATCCGCACCTGCTCGGCTTCCTGCTCCAAATGTTGAATCTTCTGCTGGTACTGTTTGTTCATGGCCTGAGCATGCTTGCCTGAAACAAACAGACTCCTGTGACATAGAAGAAGGTCTGCCCACCAAGTTACCTCCTGAGCAGAAAAGTTGGAATTAGAAAGAAGAGGAAGAATTGCACTGAAAGATAGAGCAAACAAAGAAGAAGATAGAGGCAAAGTCTGATGTTCCAAGAGAAATTTTTTCTAGCCCTTTCTACCAGCAGTGAAGAAGAGAAACAGATGACCAGGGGGGATAGGATTGTTGTAAAGGCCATAAAGAATGGCATTTATACATCCAAACTTGATAAATTTGGAGATAATAGTAACTTATAGAGATATACTGAATGAACAAGGAGTACTGAAAACTAGATTAGAACTAGTAGCACAATGGGTAAATATAGAATGGTGGTCTTATTTACAAATATAATCAAGATACATACAAGATAGAAAAACATGGGGTATTAATAAAGAATTAACAATTCTGGATAAGCTATTGTTAGAGACAGATGATAAATTAATAAAAATATTGTATAGATATTTATTAGAATACAAACTTGTGGAAGAACATGTTAAACAATGGTGGCATGGGCAAAAAAATTCAGTTATAATATTGAATTGGCTAAATGGCAAAAACTTTGGACCACAAATAAGAAAATAACATTGGCTACAGCTTATAAAGAAAATCTTTATAAGATGTTTTACAGGTGGCATCTTCTACCAGCCAGGCTTTCTAAAATGTTTAAAAATATATCTCCAAATTGTTGAAAGTGTAAAGATGTATCAGGCACATTTTATCACATGTGGTGGACTTGCAATGCTGCAAAAAATATTGGAGACTAATTCAAACATGGATAGAAGAGAGTGGTGGACGAGTATTCCATTTAAACTGGAATTTTTTCCTCCTAGGAATAACATCAGAAAAAATTAAGAAGAAAATAATGTATAATAGTACATGTATTGATGGTGGCTAGAATAATATATGCACAACACTGGAAAAATGAAATATACATCTAGAAACAGAAATAATAAGAAAAAATATGGCATGTGCAGAATCAAATACATTAACTTTAGAAATAAAAGGCAAAGGGGAGTCTAAATATTATAAAACATGGAATAAATTTTATCAAAGGTTATATAGCAGAAGATAAGGTCAAAATATTAATTATGATTAATTAGTAATTAATATATTAAATATGGATATTATAATATGTATAACAAGGCTAAGTTGGATGTATTGTGTTATATTCTCATAATTAAAATTAAAAAATAATTTAAAAAAATAATGGCCTTGAACAACAGGAGGAAAAGGATCAAGCATGAGTTAAGTTCAACAACAGTTCAACAGCTCCATACCTGTTTTAATAAGCTCTACTATCAGGTCCTCTTTCATACGGATGTTGATAGCCAGCTCACGGATCTTCTGGTGGGCCTGAAGGAGCTGCCATTCTGAATCCTTGCCTGGAAAGCTCCCTGCTGGACTGCTCAGCTCTTGTTGCCTACCATCTGGGAAAGAAAATGTAAATGAGAGGTGTTTGGTATAAATTTTATCACAATAAGGGATGGAACCAATGGTACAAAGACAATCAAGACTTCATTTCAATTCAGAACCACTGATTCTGATACAGAAGTATTTCTCAACCTTGACAGTTTTAAGATGAGTGGACTTCAACTTCCAGAATTCCTTGCTGGCTGGGGAACTATAGAAGTTTAAGTCCACTCATCTTAAAACTGCCACAGTTGGGAAATACCACACTAGAGTGTTAAGAAAAGACTCTGAACAAAAACAACTATTCATCAATGGAACCAATGACAGAGAGAGATGGTGGGGTCTCTTTTCTGTGGATGGAGCAGCTCTCTCTCAAAGCTGCTTGAATTTGGATTCTTACATGAAGCAGGCAGGGCCAACCCAATGGCTCTTTCCAACTCTACAGTTTTCTCCACATTTTTCTTTGGTGAGTATTCAGCACTTGTAGAAAGAGAGGAGTGTCTGAAATAACATTTTTGTTCTCAGCGTTGGGAAAGCAGAATAATTGTTTCTGGGTGTTCTTTGCTTGGCTGAAAGTATGCCGTACCTTTAGGTAGCTCCAAAGATTTCTCTTGGACTCCCTCTGGGGATTTTGAGTTGTATTTTTTATTCTTCTTGGTTGAAACCTCCTCTTTGCTCCAGCTATGGGTTCTGTTCCTACAAGAACACCCAGTTGTTGGGTTTAATAAAAACATGGCCATCAATAAAGCAGAGGAGACAAGGAACAAAACTGCAAATCCTTTGAAACTGGCTAAATTAAATCAACTTACACTTGCATATTTCCATGAGATAACTGAAGGTGTTATATAACAAATATGGGAGATAAAAGACTAGTAAATTTCTGTGACTGGATTATATGTGGTGCTAAGGCAAAAAATTCTAGGTCTCTTAATCCAAGAGACTCAAGCATCATCCTTTGTAGATGCAATTTACAGCTTTGATTTGGACTTTCAATAAGAAGGCAATTTGATTGAAAGTCCAATCAAATTAGATTGGCTGATCAGGCTGACGATGGGGCTAAAACAGATGCTTGCAGAAAATTTCCTTCTTTTAAAAAAAATTCAGAAAAATCAAATCTGTATCTAGAATCAAGTAGAGGATTTCAATGGAATCAATGTTTCAAACTTGAAGCAACCATTTTGAATTCAATACAGATGCTTCCTATTAAAAAAAAAAAACATATTCGAAACATTGTGGATATCACCAGACTCTACAAATCTACAAAAAGATGTAATATTTCACTCATGCCTCACCTATATTGCTGAAGGGACCAGATTGGCCAACATCTATTCTCATCTTCCAAAGATGAATCCAAAACGTTATCCAGTGTTTTCATTTGTGATATATCCTTTGTCCCTAGACTGTACATATTATCTCCAGCGAGACTGTGACTTTGTCCCAGTGAGTCTTCTCCATTGTGAACTGTGACACTGTGGAGCTACTTAAAGGAAAGTGTGCAATGAGGAAAGGGCTGTAGGATGATTCTAATTTGCTTACAGCTCTAAGCTATTTGCCCCAAGAAGGTTTGTGGTTACTTATAGCTACTTAGATTGAATTTTAATTATCTTTTCTTTGTTCTCTTTATCTACTTCCAGGGGAGGAAGATAACTTATTACAGCATAAATTATAGCACTTGCTAGCCGATCTCATTTTCTGACCAATAAGTTGCTCAAGACAAGTCATGTCATTAGGTTATGGTTCGGTATCTCACATGAACCCCCAAAATTGGATGAATTGAGGAAACTATTGCTAAGTTAAATATATAACGGGAATACAGTCAACATGCCTCACTGGCACCTCATTATGTTCTTACTTTTATTTTTCATTAATTCATGCAACGCCCAATAAACTGATGCTCAAACTGCTTGCCCTACTGTCAGGAAAAATGTTTTCAGTGGAGAAAGATACGCAACCAGGCTGGGTCTCAGAATATGTTAAGGGCCCTGTGAATTGGCTTTACGATTAGTTGATTAATTATCATGGCTGCCATTTATACTTATTTATTTTGTGGGTGTTTTTAGGTTAATGATTTTAAAATTGCTTTCATTGTTTTATGATTTTTAGAATTCTAAGCCACCCAAAGTCAGTTGGTTGAGTTGGATGGCTATGGAAATCAAATACATAAAATAAAAACTTTCAAGAAGGAGCTATCATCCTTTCTTTTCCACCAAGATGATTGTGTGATCTTGCACAGTAGCTTCCAAATTCCTGAAGCATCACAAGATTTGGGCATCCTTTTGAGAGATTTCACAAGTGTATGCAAAAATGTTAATTCAGAACCTCTTCTAAAAGTGAGTTTATTTAATTGAATGAGGGTTGGGGGGGGGGCGGTAAGAAGGGAGACATAGCCTCTGGGTTGTCTCCAATCCAGACTTAACAAAAACATAACTCCTGTTTTTATAGGATGATGAAACAACTCACAAACCTTCCTATGGTTATTACAGGCAAGCTTGAGCCAGTGATGGGACTGGTATGCATCCATAGGAGCTGTGTGTGGCCTTTGGTCCAGCTGCACCAGGGAGACATTTCCTAGCAGTTCAGGCATGCCCAAATGGGGCATCTCCATCTTTAGGTACTTCTGAAGTTCAGAGATGATGTCTTCCTGTTCTTGCAATTTGGCACCCTGAAAAGAAAATAACATGAGACCAAATGTGCTTGTTTGAAAGCATGGCTGGTAACGTCAGGGCCATGGGCACCCCAGTTCTTTATTGTTCCCACTGCCTGGTTTCTCCCCCTTCAGCAAAGTGACTAAACTATGCATTTTCAACAATATGATTTCTTGTCTTGTTTTTAAAAGGGGTCAAGCTATTCTCCAAAGCACCTGAAGGCAGGACAAAAAGCAACGGATGGAAACTAATCAAGGCAAGAATCAACCTAGAAATAAGGAGAAATTTCCTGGCAGGGAGAACAATTAATCAGTGGAACAGCATTGGAGATTTTAAAGAAAAGATTAGACAACCATTCATCTGAAATTCTATATGGACTCCTGCTTGAGCATGGAGTTGAACTAGAAGTTTCCAAGTTCTCTTTCAACACCAGTATTCTGTTTATTCTATTAAACCACTAACATAACTCTATGTATAATCCATACACCTATTCAAAAATAGTAGGAAGGGGAAAAATAATGGTCAAACCTCAATAATTTTGGCTTCACCTTTGACATCATGGCATCATCTTCAGCTAGCTTCCAAAGCTGTTTGAAATATTTTATTTTCCTGGGTTTCCCTGACCTCCTGCCCTTATTTATACCTCTGTCCAACATCTTCCAGATGTGCTGGGATAAGAACACTTCAAATCTCTCCCATGTTTTCAAAGAAGGAATTTCCAGACTTGCAGTCCTAGCATTTCAAGGAAGAAAATGGCTTCCGAAGAACTACATGAGTGATATAGACTTGGACACAAATGCTCTGTTGCAGATCTTCTGCCTATGCCCATTGACTGTTTGAGTGGGCATTCAGAGAGAAACGTTGGGATTAGGATGTAGCAAGGCAAGTACCACAAAGGCAGGCCTGTAAGAGAATGGAGCTATTGACCCAAATTCCAAAGATGGGTGGCTTCCTTCTTCCAAATGCAAGCTGAAAGAAGATGAGCTCTCAAGGAGACCAAAGTGGAGAAAGTGAATCTGACTGCAAAGATGAATGACTTTTTTTAATCAGTGGATGGCAAGCTGAGGGAGGAGAAGCTTGCCAACCTAAGAAGGAGATACCTGTGCTTTGTACTGCTCCATAGCATCCTCAAGAGCTGCCAAGAAATCTTGGTTCTCCTTCTCTAAGCGCTCTACTTGCTCCTCCAGCCTCACCACTTCCTCCTGTCCCACTGTCTCGGGTCCTTGTTGATGCCCCTCCTGGGAAAAGAAGAGGGAAAGGAGGGATCTTCATGGGATCTTCAGAAGGTTCTTGGATCATCTCCCCACCCAGATCAAAGAAGGAGCAGAACATCCTCATAATCCACTCTCAGCATCATCCCATGAAATGCTGTTGGCAGAAACAGCTCCATGTCTTGTACCCCAAGGAAGGCTATTTAATTACACCCCCACCTGGAATTATCCCCAAGAGCACAAAAAAATAACATCCAAAATCATCAATCATGTCTCTTCTAAAGACTTCACAAGCATAATAGTCTCTAGCAGCTCTTTCAAAACCAGCCACAATTGGCTGGTCGCTGGCTGCTTATCTTTAAGATAGATAGATGGATGGATGGATGGATGGATGGATGGATGGATGTGGAGATGTAAAAACAAATAAATATAAACCAGAGTGTTTTACAAATAAGCACAGGCAACCAACCAATTATGGCTGGTTTTTAACGATATAGAAATATAAAGATATAAATATAAAGACACCTAACAGTTTGACCTCAAATGTTTCCTCCCTTGAACTAATGTCTCTTTCCACCCTCAAATGGGAATCCTCCCCTTCAGTTGGTGGTTCTACCACCATACTTTATCTTTTCTTATATAAGAAAAGCAGCCAGTGTGTTTATTTGACTAACATTTAGTCAAAGAACCAAAACAATTTTCAAAGCATGCCCTTTCATTTTACATAGTGTCAGCCTCAAGATATCTTCACCCCTAACTATCAAGATATCTTCACCCCTAACTATTGCTTATCTGTTGCTATGCTCTTTTTCTCTCTTTCGGCTGTCATGAAACGGTGGGAGGGGGGAATCTTGGAGGGGAAGAAGGCAGGAGGTGTTTTGCATTCCTTTGCTGGGTTAAGAAGGGGAGGGGGGATTCTTTGTTTTAACTTTCCATTTCTTCGCTAGCCTCTGTCCTTTTTTCTGCGCAGCTGCGAACTTTTATCAAAATATGTCAAGGTCACTGACAGTAGCCTCATCATCACCTGGAGATGACCACATGATCCTATTCAGAAGTTTTAATTGGAAGAATCATTTGATCTTTGGAGGGGGGAGCAATTCTATCCCTTTGTATATGCATTTTACCCGCCAATATCTCAGTTTCGGAATTGATTCTGTTGCTACCATTCAATTTCCAGTAAAAGAATAATTCTGCTCTACACCATGGAGTCTGAGTATTTCTTTCTTGGGATTTAGAAGGAGCACAGTCTGACACATAGTCTACAATTATCTCAGGTTATTGACAAAACAGTATTAACCTTTCACTTTTAATTTATATAGTTATTAAATTGCTACACTGCCCATCTCATCTAAGTGATTCTGGGTGGTTTACAACAACAGTAAACTTCTTTTAAGTTTCCTACAGACTTTTTCTTAACTGGCAACATATCAACGCCATTTGTAGATGATGAAATCTTCTCCCTTTCTTTTCTGCACCATCGACCCAAACACAGGGCATTCCAAGTGCTCTTTTCCTATTATTGTACCAATCAAGTGCAAGCAACCAGAACCACACGTGGACAGACCCAAGTAGATAGTATATTATTGATCACCTATATTACAAGAATCTTGCCAAGGGAAGTCTGCCTTCCCCTGGGAAACAGCAGGTGTGGACCTAACATTGTGACCTCTGATGTTTCCTCCCTTGAACCAACTCCAATGTCTCTTTCCTCCCCCAAATGGGCACACCATCCTTCAGTTGGGGGTTCTACCACAGTACCTGAGTCTTGACCAGCTTGGAAGTGGAGGTTTTGGAGTGCTGTTCCTCAGCCGAAGTGCTTCCAATCCCGCTGTCTACGCCGGAGGTCAAACTTGGCTCGCCTGCCCCATTTTCCACTGCACACAGCCAGTCCTTCACCCGGAGCCCCTGTTCCTCTGTCAATTTGCCCTCCCCTTGCAGTTCCATCAAGAGCTGATAGGCGGCGTCTGTGCGAGTCTGGTAGTGGTTGCATTCAGCTCGTAAGTGAGCCATGCTTTCCTCCAAGTGACCCTTGATGGGTACCTCCGATCGGCGGATGATGCGAGTCTCTGAGCGGTGTCTCTGTTCCAAGGCCCTCTGAAGCTTCTTGATACGCAGCTGCAGGGCTTCTACGGGCTCCATCTCCTTGCTACAATTCACCATGGCCCAATTTTTGATATTCTGAGCCCATCTGGCATAATTCAGAGTGGTCAGACTCTTGTCAAAGTCGGAGGAGGAAGGGCTGACGCAGGCAATCATCACGGTTTTGGCGTTCCCACCTAAGGAGCCTTTCAAGATTCTGAAACCAGAGCAGGATCTCATATTAGCAAGACTGAAGTAGAGTGGGTGGAATCACACTTAAAGGAACAGTGCAATCCAGCTTTTGTTTTGGGTCATAAATAGCTCTCAGGAAGGAAAAACCTATCGGAGTCTGTACATGAAAATAACAGTGGCATTGAAGTTCATTATTTACGTGGTTTCTTAGCTTGAAATCAATTTTATTTCAGGAAGAAGGAAAAAATAACCTATCAGCATTGTAGAGTCCTGGCCCCGAATTTAAACTATCAGTTGTTTAAATATTTTTTGTACAGTTGTCTGTGTTCTCATGATGTGCCACAAACCTTAGCTTCCAAACTACCGCCAGCTTTTATGTTCTGCAAGGCCAGCCAGCAAAGCCTAAAAAAATCAAGATCTGTGACTCTGCATGTTGTTTGAACCCGGCCTGCTGCAATTTATCCAATGTCCCTGTTAAGTCCATGATGATTTAGCATGTGCTAACCTCACCCAGCCAAAGTATTTCCCAACGCTGAGATGTATCATCCATTTCGGCTTAAAATGGAATGAAGGGAGATAACAAAGGACAATTCCAAGGGAGGGATTTTTTAAAAGAAAGCTTTAAGGTTGGATTTTAAAATGAAGGTACTACCATTGGGGGGGGGGGGGGGCTGCCTGCTTCCTGAGATAAGGAACATTTCCAGCCTCCTGGCCTTCGAGAGAGTCTTGAAAACTATTCTTCTTGAAGGCCATTTGGACACAGATCTTTTGAGAGGGTTAATTAAAAAGATCAGATGGATCCGTGTTTTTACTGGCTTGTTGAATCAGCAAAATTCCTTGGAGTTCCATAAGAACCATGGAGAGGATGGAAATGGCCAGTTGATCAATGGCTACAGGTGATCCTCAACTTACAACAGTTAGTTTAACGATTGTTCAAAGCTGCAACAGCACTGAAAAAATTGACTTATGACCGTTTTTTCACTTACGACTGTTACGGCTTTCCCATGGTTACATGATCAAAATCCAGATGCTGGTTACTGACTCATAGTTACGGCAGTTGCAGTGTCCCGGGGTCATGTGATGACCTTTTGTCAATGGGGAAGCCAGATTCACTTAACAACCACGTTACTGACTAAAAAACTGCCATGGTTCATTAAACTATGGCAAAAAGGGTGCAAACAGGGCAAAAACTCACTTAACAACCAAAATTTAGGGCACAATTGTGGTCAGGTTTATTATTACAGTCAGAGACCAGAACAAATAAAAACACTCAGGGATTATCCTGTTAAAAATTCTAGAATAAAAGAATAAATAACAGATATTAAAATTAAAATCCAGTCTGTCAGTTACACGTGGCCTAACTATACTATAATAACCATCCATAAACTTGTGAGGCCCATTAAATACTAAGAAAAAGTATTTGTTCTGGTCTCTGACTGTAATAAACTTGATTTGATTTAGATTTGATTTGAATACAACCATCCCGAGATGGTATTCAGCAGGTTCTGACTGGTTCTGGAGAACCGGTTGCAGTAGTTTGGAGAACCGGCAAATACCGCCTGACTGGCTCCGCCAACCCCATCCATTCTCTGACTCCAGAGTCCCAGCTGATTGGCTGGGTCTTCTTTGGTTGCCCTGCACAGGAGAACGGAGCTGGAAAGCAGGTTAGTGGGGTGGGGAGGGAATGGGGATTTTGCAGTATCCTTCCCCTGCCATGGCCACCAAGCCACACCATGGCCACCAAGCCACGCCCACAGAACTGGTAGTAAAAAAAATTGAATCCCACCACTGCAACCATTGCTTCAGCAAAGCAGATAAGAGGATAAGATACTTCCTAATGATGAGGAATCAGAAGGAGACTACCTGGTGATTTTGGAATCCCGATACGGGATGTGGCTGCTTTTCCGGCGGGGGTCTCCAAGGGCACTAATGACATTGCCCAAGGCCAAGAGGCTGGCGTTGATCTGGATGCTCTCCTTCAGCCTCTCCCCAGTACACCCCAACTTCACCACCCGCTCAGAACCGGCCAGATCCACAAAGTGAAACTTGGACTTCAGAACCTGCCCAGCGGTCGGCGCCACCAAAGTCTTCCCTGGGCAGGCAAAGCGAGTGAGGCAGTTGCTGTTTTGCCTTCGTGCCATGGTCACAGTGAAGACGGTGTGGGAACGACTGGACCTCCTGTTGAGGTGGGTGCTTCCCGTGTGCTTGGCCGCGTTGCCCATTTCCAGCAGGCTCAGAACCTCATCCAGACCTTCCACTTCTGTTTCTTTCACCCCGTGCAGCACTGCAGCAAGAGAAAGAAGGAAAGAGACTGGGCTCCCTTGTTGTAAGAAACCGTGCTTTGTCTAATCGTGGATTCAGAGATACACCCAGTTAACTTCTCATAAAAGGCGATTCAAAACAAACAATCTTCATCCTAGATCAACATGAGAAGGGAAGCTGGTAAAAACCCAGCCAAGATGGTTGAGCCATAGCTAACAACGACCACAGTTGATACAAGGAGATGTAGCTCTAGAACGGGGTTGCCAAACCTATTGTCAGGTTTCCAGAAAACCTCCACTCCAACAAATAACTCTGAGACAGACACCCTCTCCAAAGTTTCTTTTATTAGAGTAGTAAACTGGCACATCTGGGAAATCCCGAATTTGAATGTTCCGGGTTTCCTTGCAATAAGTAAAAACTACAAATCTACCCCTGGCATCCCTCATTTGCATCACATGCCCACATGCCCTGGTCAAAAGGGTCCAGCAGAGATTATACTACCTGAGACTTCTCAGAAAAAAACTGAATGAAAAACTGCTGGTGACCTTCTACCGCTGCACCATAGAGAGCATTTTAACCTACTGCACCTCTGTATGGTTTGCCAATTGCACAGTGGCAGATAGGAAAGCACTCCAGAGGGTTAATGTCATTGCCCAGAGGATCATGGGTTGCCCTCTCCCCTCTTTGGAAGAGCTTTATAGCTCCTGCTGCCTTAAGAAAGTTCAGAACATCCTCAAAGACCCATCTCATCCTGGGCAGCCTTTTTTTGAACTATTACCATCTGGCAGACGGTACAGGATAATGAAAACAAGGACAAATAGGCTGAAAAACAGCTTCTATCCCAAGGCAGTAGCTCTTTTGAATTCTGCTGTATAGTGCAGTGTTGGTGCGGTGTCAGGGGTTTCCAGTTCAATGTGTGAAGGGTGAAGGATGTGTGTTTGTGTTCATTTTCATGGTCATGATGTGCACTGAAGATGGTGTTTGATTTTGTTGTAGAAGGTGCAATGACAATAAAGTAAACTAAACTAAACTAAATTACCATCCATCCCAGCTGGAGACGCCCTCTCAACCAGGTGCAGAAGTAACCTGATCTTGACAATAAACAAAGCACAACAAGGGGTTAACACAATGTCACTTTAACCCCCCCTCCGCCCCTCCAAGGGGACCCATGTCATGTGACATATAGGGACTTTTTTCCTCTTCCCTAAACTAAGCGTGGGCGTGGCCAGAGGGTGATGGTGGGGGGTTTGACAGCCCTGCTCTAGATTACATAGCAGGGTGTGGATTCAAAACTTCTCTGCCTTTACTCAATGGCTGCTTTAGCTTTATCTGTGATTCATTGATTTTATATTAGGGTAAATCACTGTGCAAAAATGGTACTGTGACATCTAGTTTCACAACACATCTTTATGCTAAGGAAACAATAAAATTAGAAAAGAGAAGCAACATTGTTGATGTACTAAAACAAAGCAAGCAATCTTTCCCAGAATTTTATATACTACCATGTTTCTCATATAATAAGGCCGGATCTTATTTTATTTTGAGCCCCGAAAAAACGGCTAGGCTGTCTTTTCGGGGGTGACTTAATTCCCCCCCCCCCTTGCATCTTAGGGCGGGCGGAGATGGCTTGGATGTTGACCTCGGCGTTGGTGGGGCACTTCGTATCGGAGTCAACGCAGGCAGCACCATATCCGGTGTGCAACAAAAGTACTTCCTAACAGCAAGCCCCCCCGCCATTTCCCCCCCATTTTGCATGTTTTAATATAGGCCTTAATTTGGGGGGAGGGGCTTAATTTCATTTCATGCCTATAAAACATGCTGGGACTTCCTATTGGGGGAGGCTGTATTGTTGGAGAAACAGGGTATTCTGGCAGCTATGATTTAAAAACAGAGGGACAATAATTGAAAGAAGTGGATAATAACAAGCTGTCTTAATGTGCAATCCCAAAATAACTGCAGAACCACTTAAAATACCATCGGCATTGACAGAATCACCTTCCATCAATTGCAAAAGGCAGCTTTACTTAGAACAGCTTACATCCTGTGATGATACCCTTAACACCAGCAAACCGCAACATCTGCTATCCCTGGTCCTTGGGAAGGACTCCAAAGGTGGATAAAAGTGCCAAACCAATCTAAAACATCTGGCTGACTGTGCAACCAACCATAGTAACAACATATAGAGGACAATAACAAAAAAGAGGGGGAGAATAGCCAAATCAGTTTTCAAAAATCTTACTGAACAATTGAATGCCTAGCAAGGGACAGATGTTGAAAACTACTTCTCTGGCCCCAAACTTTGAGCAACAAACTGTGCTATCCAACTCTTATTACAAAGGAGGAAAAACGCATGTCCTAAGGGGTTCCTTATGGAGGAAGGGGCAGCAAAGAGAAGAGTTCTTTGGCTTATACCTGTATTCCCCCTGTCATCTTCCCATATCTGGATGTCTTTGCTGGCCGTGTCCAGTTGCAACAAGTCGCGGAACTCCTCCTTGTACACTTCCAGGTAAGAGACACGGACAGTGTAGTTGAGCAGATCGTTCTCATCCATCAACTTGAAGGCCTCAGCCATGGCCCGAGGGATGATGCCCTGCTCATCTTCATTGATGGAAGCTGGATGGGAGAAATGAAGTTATTAGTGGCACTGGCTGCAGGGAGGTTGCAAACCCACCCCCCAAAGGGAAATGGTCTGATGCCACTGACACACACGCTCACATTTCCACCAAAGGTAGACCTCCTAAAGTGGCAACACTTTGAAGAAAGTGCATTGCACAGAATATATGTTGTGAATTAATAATAAAACAAGAATGTTTTCAGGTTCTTTTCAACAAACTAGAGGGAGGAAGGGGAGAGGGGGGGAGGGAGGGAGGGAGGGAGGGAGGGAAGGAAGGAAGGAAGGAAGGAAGGAAGGAAGGAAGGAAGGAAGAGCTGTGATGGAGCATTGTACGCTAACTCTGCTGACTGCCAGCAATTTGATCCTGAATGGTTCAAGGTTGACTCAACCTTCCATCCTTCCGAGGTGCGTAAAATGAGGACCCAGATTGTTGGGGGCAAGAAGCTGACTCTGTAAACCGTTTAGAGAGGGCTGTAAAGCACTATAAAGTGGCACAGAAGTCTAAGTGTTATTGCAAAGTGGGAAGGAAGGAAGGAAGGAAGGAAGGAAGGAAGGAAGGAAGG